TTCCTAAGTTATTTGCTTTTTAATATTTTTATTTGTCAAACTTACATGTATGTACAACGCATGGTCCTAGTATACTACCTCCATGGTGCAACGTCATACCAACAGTAACCTATTTGTGACCCAGTTGTTATTAAAGAATGCAAATTTGTAAATTTGGCATTTTTGATCCAGTTTTATTTGTACATGACTGTACAATAACTCACATAACTTGTAAACAAACTCACACGTTCTTCATATTGCTGTCAAACACAGCAAAATATAAATTACAACAATAATAATACCTATATATTGCATAGAAAATACAAAATTAAACAAATATATTTCAATATATTTTAAAATATACAAAGTGATCCACAATGAATGTATCTGTTGGCAATCGTGACTTTAAATTCAACAATCTTGAGGGTACGTCAAGCAAAACCGTATCTGGTTGCAGTGTTTCAAATTATTAACAAAAATACTTTCAAATCTGTTAGCAACAGACACACTCTTTCTGTATCACTTCGTATTTCAAACACACAATATTTTTATAAATAGCAACTCAAAGAAACAGCTTTAAGATAAAAAACAAAGTCATTTTTAACAAGAACTATCATTATTTAATTAATAAATTAATTGTCAAAGTGATATATAGTTGTCAAATAAATAAAACCGCCAATGTGATAGAACTTATAAAACAGAGAGAAAAAAAGTCCAAAATCAAGAAAAAAATTAACTTTTCTTTTCAATGAATCAGAATAATAAAGTTTTAACTACATTTGCTCGTTTCAGGTGAAGCAAAAAATGGTTTTCCTTTGCAGTTGTGGGGTAAAATCAAACATCTTTTTTTTTTCCTCTTGTAAACACATACTGAATGTACAGTTGCGGAACTAAAATTTCGGGTAGTATTTTTGTGTCACTTAAAAAAGTTCACTGTAAACTACCTTGTACTGTCATCATAACTGACATTTGACAATTAAACTTTTCTGTCCGTGACGCTATTTTTGAAAGTATAGGTATAGGTTAGTCAAAATGACATAAACATGACAAGAGCAAAAAATGAGGTTATTAATGTAAAGGTTGTTTTAGAGTTTACATTATGAAAATGACAATACTGCCCGAAATTTTAATTCCGCAACTGTAACTAAATACTGAAATAAAAAGTTATTTAAATGAAAACTTAACAATTATTTGGTTGATTGAGTGATCTGGTAGTAGTTTCTTGTTTGACGTTTACCTACAATTGCAGTAAAAATGGTATATCGTGTTTCGTTTTTAGTGCACTCTAAAATAGTGATGCATGTGAAATTTAAAGACTTGTTAATGATTATAAAATAGCGTGTTGGCATGACACATGAAAAAATTTCAATTCGCTTTTATTATTGTCGTTTAGTACTGCAAAACTTCGAAGTTGTGTTGTAAACTATAATTTTAGGATTGAAGCGGCAATATTTCGAGGATAATGTGCGGTGGATTACCGCCCAGATACAATATTTTCCTTTGTGCGAAGTGTCCTAGTCAACTCGGTCCTATTATATGCTTATAGGGAAGCTCAACAGACTGGCTTACAGAGCTTATCACAACATTCACAGCTTTCCCGTCTCAACAGTGCGACATTCCCGGAATGAGGCGCCGTTATTCCATTATCATTCAAATATACCAGAATTTAAATTTACTGAAGTCGACTTAGTTGCAAAAGAGAAGAGAGAGCATTTAAGAAACGCAAAATGAATATTAAAATTTATTATTAATGAGGAGTGAGTTCTAATCTCCAGAAAACTTTCTTATTTTAATCCCGAACAAGACGTTTCACACTCGCAGCTATTTTCACGACTGCAAATCTAAATTTAAATATTTCAAGGAAATTGGGGAGAAGCTGACATACATTATTTAAATATTAGACTCAATCGAAAAATATAGCTTAAATGGTCAGGTAGAATGAGTTAATATATCTTACTGAAAGGGACAAGTTGAGCGGTCACTCGGGACCACCCTTGGGAAAAGTTCACTTTGCGGTCTTAGAAAAGGAAAGATTAATATGGTCGTAAAAAAATCGGTCGGGATAACGGTTTAAAGCTTATAAAAATTTTGATTAGGAAATGGAGCCGATCCTCTACTGAAAAATTGCCACTTCGTACCCTGTTACAAGGATGAGAGTACTTAATTATTTAAAATTTACATTTGTTGCACCAATATTAAGCATCCATATTTTTCTTCCAAGGCCTATTTCATATTTCGGATGCTAAAATCCCATCTCGCTTAATGCTTTACATTTCAATTATGGAGACTTTCCAAGATTAAAATTTAAATTGAAAACTGAGAAAGGAATCAAACTGTTAAATGACTATTGATTCCATTCATGACCGGTGCTTATATTTTGAGATTGTAAGGCGAATAAATTAACTTCAAACACTTCTACCAACACACAACAATCAAAAGATGACTTATTTTCCTAAAAATAATTCTTTGGAGATTTAGCTATTAAAAAGATAGAGTCGGTTATTTAGTGCCTCCGCGTATTTCTTTCTTGTAATTGAATTCAGTTTTCAGGAAGCGGCCCATCATATTTTATTGAAATGAAGTCGCAGGTGGCCAAGTTCGATTTGGTGCAGGTTATAAAGCTAGTAATAAGTCACAATGATAACCTAATGGCTGTTATGAGGTTCGCGCTCGATAGAACAAAAGCGAGAAAAGCGGCCGAGTTTTTCAAATGAAGTGTCTGTTTACAATGTCTGATTTACGAGCTCGTTTAGAAAACGTTCAGTAACTGTTAGCGCCAACATCGTTACTGCTTCTCTAATCTGCATTACACCAATATCCTGTCGATCCACTCGTTAACTGAAATGTTCCGAAGAAAAATACCGAACGGGTCAATTTCATCAATTACACAAGAAATCAAAAAACACGTGATGTACCTTTAACACAACACAAACTTTTATTAAACAAAAAAATATAGTCCAACTGCATGCCAATTTGCTAAGTTCCCTTAATTGAAACATTTTTTTTTAATTCTCAGTTCCATTGCTTTCGCACAGGTGGCAGCATTATTATGTTTTTCAGTGGAAAATCATAAATCCTTCCCTTGCAAAATACATGCTTTTTAAAGTGCTTCTGAGACAAAATTAATTTAATTTCTTCAAGAAATGTAGTGCATACAGGTCTGCATGCAATCATGCTGTTTCTTATTTCTTTTTATTTTTAGACAATAAAAAATTCAATTTATTTCACTGAGGAAAATATTTTTAGCAAATTTTCACATGTTTTTACTAGTTTTAAATAACAACACATATAAATAATATGCACAAATAGTGAACATGATGTATCTAGCATAGAAACCTAGATAGAAATCATGAGAATGAAATTGCAATAAAGATAGACGTATGGCCAAACACAATAACCAAACTCAATTTGTTATAATAATACAATTATAATGCTAATACTAGAGGTTACGCAAAATTTCATTAATATCGAACGTATACATATAACAATAACACATAAATAACTTCAAAATCTATTTAACTAGATATGGTTCATTAATTAACTATCAAATGAAAAATACACATTAACACATTACTTTTTTAAAGTGATTTTGTGCCTTAGAAAACGCGTTTTATTATTGAATACAAAAAATAGTATGTTTTCTACGAAAGTAAACAGATTTCATCTAAGACAGTATAAATAAGGTTTACTTTACTGCATATCTGTCTAATAAAATTATCAATTTGATCCAATCCATGCCGCTGCAGTAATATGGTCGCTACAGCAACTTCACTCGATCATTACAGTATCCCCTCTTCTTTCTCCATATCAATGTATCTCTTGGATCGAATTTTTCATTGGATACTGAAAACAAATCTATCTGCATCTTTAACCAAGTTCAAAGCATTCTAATTCTAAGCTTTATGACGTTAATTTATTTAAAGCTTTTGTTTGCCCCCTATTCTGTAGTTTTCAGCGAAGCGGAAGCTGTCATGATTTCAGAACTTCTATGAAACAAAATAGCTATATATCTATTAGAGAAACGTCCAATATGATTACCGCCGTTGATGGCAAACTGATTTTAACTTGACACATAACTAAATGGCACGAGAACTCGTTAATCCGTGCAGGAAACAGGAAGCAACATTTGACTTTACACCCCATGCGGATAAAGCGAGACGGATGTGGCTTTATGCCTCACACACTACTTACATGTTCAATGGTTTCAAGCTTAATATCGAGTTTTTATACCAAAGTGACAAAAAACTAAGCTTCTGCTCTATGATATGTGTCAACCAGACTGTGATGATGTGGCGTTAATTAACAACATTAGATCTGTTTATGAATGCGGCAGAGAACAGAAGCTGATTCAGTGATAATAATCAAATCAGTGTTGGATTCAATAGTAAAAAATAAAGAATAAAATTTGATGAAGCTTTAGTTAAATTAATATTGTTTGAGCAGCAATAAAATACATTTGGACACATATAAATCAGTTCTGACAATTTAAAATAAATGAAATAAACTGTTTGGATACATATATCTTGACATAAGCCGGCAGGTAGTATGTTAGAAACCGCTTAATCTCATCTCTCTCACACAAAGCAGTCGTGTGAATGTCTGTTTGCTGATTTCAGAACAATCGTAGCATGAAATGATAAAAACCCTCTATTGATTGTTTCCAGTAATGGAATAGGATTCAAAAACCGAATTTATGGCTACTTTAAAAACTACCATTGTTTGAAAAACCGACTACTTCTAAGTGAGTTATTTAGTCTTTCCAAATACTAGTGCAAAAATACATAAGTTAGAATTCGTTTGCATATGAAATAATTTTACAATCTACTAAAGTAAATGTTTAACTTTCTCTAATAGTTACAGTTTAAAATTTGACATTGTGTAAATTTGGTACATATCATGTAAATAGATGAATTCTAATCTTCATGAGAGAAAGAGTGTTGCATAGGTCAGGAATACGGGCGCTTGCGCCTTTATTTTGATGATGTTGAGCGTCGCGACGCTAACGTCAGTCGGCATGCGGCACGCGGTCGGCAAACTCATATCGTTCCCATGGCTGTTAAACACTTGATTTTCACGCTTTCTTTACTCATTGCTGCGATCGCAGAGGCCGCAATGGACGTGACAGCTGGTAAGTCTCGTAAGCATGAATAAATCACGGAAAATCTTAAGTTGATTATGCCATGGCAAATTATGGTGATTGATAGGTCGTATCTCCGATCTACAGGTAATGCTTGTGTTTAGTTTACGTCACGCAATTTTACTTTAGATGGATTTTTGAAGAGCACACGCGAAAAGCTCTCTATGTTTCAATCTGATTAAGGTTTGTTATTGTTTTTGCAAAATTAAAAGTAGATAGTTCGTTTGTTACATAAAAGATTTTAAACGAATTAAAAATCACAAGTAAATATACCGATATTTTGTAAATATTTAATGTTTGTGCGATTAATCGATATTTTAACAATAATTAATTTGAGGATCAGGTTCGCTATTTGTGACCTCATTAATTTTCTGCTCTTAATATTGATACATAGGAGCATTCGTGTTCCGTTTAATCACACCTAGATGACTGATTAATTTTTAAATTTAGTATTTTTAATATCAGTTCAAAGAGGATTTTTATTTACGTTACCTGTACAAATATTTTTGTATTTGATTTATATTTATAACTAAGTAAATAGCCAAAATATCGTTTATTGTTTTTTACCATCAAGTAAGAGATGCTTTTTGTCATTTCCATTGCCGGCATCAAAAGTCCAAGAAGCCAGCCGTCACCCAAAAAAATTTTTCTATATAGTCACTGAATGGAAGATTAAAATATAATAAATATAATATAATGCAGTTTTTTAAGAACAATAAAATAAAGTTGACTTGAGTTATGCTAGTAAAGATTACATGTTATTTTAATGTGGCTTAGATGTTTGTGACAAATTTTGTTCAATTTTAATACTCCTAATAAGTAGGTACAATCTTTTTAAAATAAATAAAAAATCAATAAGGTAATTTATTACCAGGAAAATATTTTAATTCAGAAAATAAAAGTATAATTTGAATTATTTAAATGGTTTTAAGGTATTTGCGGTTATAGTGAAAAAACTGCTTTCCAACTCTCTGTTAACCCAGTTAGGAAAGATGTATTGTTATTGTGATTTTATTAAGTTTTTCTTGTGTGTTTTAGCGAGTGTATTGGCTCTAGAAACACATCAAAAGTTTTAGATGAATACTTTAATAGTAAACTTGGAACAGCATCACCTTATTTCTGTCTTTATTAAGTTGTATATATGTCGTAGTCATTGGACGTAATGCGTCATTCCGCGGAAAGCCTAGTCTTTGGCCGTACTGCCGGCAGATGCTGTAATCAAATGAATATTGCTTTGTTTGACTGAAATTTTACGTCATTTCAGGGATTGCCTACTTAATTCTCGTCAAACAAAGTAACCGGTTAAAACATTACATGATACTGCGTTTGACGGAAGTGTATTTAGTCATTTGCTGAAAGCTTGAAATTTTATTGTGTAGTATTTCGGGCCGTAACATTTAGTAATTGTTGGACTTTTCTTATTGAAAATTGATAATCATAAGAGTTTGTTTTACGAGTATGACAAATTAAATGAATATTATTTGAAAAACAAAGATGCCAAAAAACCGTGGTTTTATTTTTGTTTAATTTACCTGAAGGCAAAAAATACATTTTTAACTGTTGTTTAGGTCATGTACTTACCGTTTTTTGTATGATTTTATAATATTATATGTTTACATTATTCGAAATAAACGAAACAAATATTTTGATACAATAAAAATATTTTAGTTTTTTTTCTTTTCTTTTCTTCTACCAAAAATTTACATTTCTACAGAAAGTATCAAACATTTCAAGACTTTTCAGCAAATGACTAAATACACTTTCGTCAAACGCTGTAACATGTATTAGTGGTTTAACCGGTTACTTTGCTTGACGAGAATTAAGTAGGCAATCCCTGAAATGACGTAAAATTTCAGTCAAACAAAGGAATATTTATTTGATTACAGCGTCTGTCGGCAGTACGGCCAAAGACTAGGCTTTCCGCGGAATGACGCATTACGCCCAATGACTACGACATATACATTTCGAAATAGAGTATTTTTTGTCACTGTTGCGGTTTGTCTGAAAGAAAACCACATTATCCAAGCTAATGCAGAAGATGCATCTCTCTGATTTTGTATCTACCTCAATCCAATTATTTAGAATTGTTAACTTTACGTACACATGAAATTAAACTTTGATGGAGTGGCTAGTGCTTCTACCAAGAAGCGTGGTAACAAGTTGAATTAAATTAAGATCTCTAGAGTAGAAGTTTCGCTTTGATGAAACTCAATAGAATACATTCGGAGAAAATCACCTTTTATAACCCGTCACAATTAACACTGTTAAACAACCAAATGAAATTAAAATACAAATTTAAAAAGCAAGTTGTTTCTTTATAATTATAACTGAATTAGCGTTTTATTTGTTTTGTCATAAATGTTAACGAAGTTTCTCACGACTACCAAATTTCACCTAAAGCAACCCAAAATTCTATTATAAATTAAATTTAGAAGCTAGTCTTTCTAGAAAAAAAAAACTTTTCATGAAATTAGAAAGTTAACAAAGCGAAAGTTGCTAAATAATACCTAAACGTAACATCATTAGTCGAAAGTTTTTTGACCAGATTTAATCGAAATAATAAAAAATCACAGGTAAATCCCAGTTTCATCGATACTTGAAGTTTGATAAGGTTTGATAATGTTATGAGCTTAAATAGTTTCACGCTGCAGCTTAGTTCGTGTAAACATCAGTGCAGAATATATTAGCAATGATAATCTATTTTGACTCTAACTAATCCAATTTTGGAGAGTTTGAGTTCAACTAAAAATAGAACGATATCCGAGATACAAGTGTCGTTCTATTGAGAATAAATCGCTGCAAGCTAGCAAAACTTTGCGTCACCATTTTACTTTAAAATTTGTTCTAAATAAAAAAAAATAAACTTGAGTTGAGACCAAAATCGCAACCATCTCAAAAAACAAGAACACTAAACAAAATCAAAATAGAAATAGTCCGTTCTTCGTCGTTTTTCCAATATTGTCCATACAAGGCTCTTTGAAGTCCCTAATTGATTTAAATTCATTCCTAAAAACTAGAAGATGCAGCAGTCTTTCTATTGCAAATTCCGTTTGACTTTCAATCACGAGAATTCCCAAACAAGAACCGATTGACTTGCGGTGTCATCCGTATTAAATTTCAACTTGAGAATGCAAAGCGTTTCTTCACCAGAGCGGGATTTTACGGTTACTAGCTATAAAAGACCCGGAAATCTCACCATACAAATCACACGAATCGAATGTTTGTTCTTGGACCATTTTTGCGCCGAACTGATTTTTGGCCGCTCCTTGGGGTATTGTTCTTCTCTCTACGGGCTTTTTTATTCCTTATAAAGCTGATCAATATGCCCATTAATTTCTGATATCTCCAACCAACTTCTTTTAACACAATACCAGAAGAGATTTTATTTATCTCCACGCTTCACAAAATTCAATCATTCTAAAACAAATTAATTGATTTAACATTGTTTATTCAAAATTATACTAAATATACTATATTTTTTACTATATACTAAATATTTTATATTTGTTCAAAAATTAAAATAAATAAATAGTTGGTTACATACTAAATACATATAAATGTAGGTTGTGTAGGTATAAATAATAACTTCAGTAAGATCAGTAATCACTATAAAAGAAGCCTCCAGAAACAGACAAAGAAAATAGGTAGGCAATCACAAATTGTTGCACTTTTATAGGTTCCACAAAAAACTTTTATTAAAGCACGCTAAATATTTATGGTGAATAAGCAGATTTCGATCGCAATTTTAGTTGCAATGTAAAACACATTTATGTCTGGTTTTATTGCCGTCGGCATTAGCTCTCTCGTTTCTTTAAAAAAATTTGGAGTGTAGGTTTTTCATTTAATTAAATTAATGAAAACCCACCGTTCCAGCCCGTCATTTCCGCGTAAACTCAAAACATTTCCTTTTAACATCCTAGTCCACATCATCCGGACGTCAAGAACTCTGAGACGATTCTATATTTAATTTGAATAAAACTTAGTAATTATAAAACTTTCTTAACGTAAAGTGCAGAACTGTAGTAATTTTTGAAAAAGCTTCATTATTCCGAGACAGTTCAAAACAATTTAAACACCTACCTGATTTTAACAAAAATGAATAAGTGGCTAGACAGAAACCTATGCTATAAATATTTTATTTGTTTAATAGGTAAGTTTCGTTGCACGGAATGTGTGTCGTCAAAGTGAATAGCGAATGTACACGCAAAGTGAAGTTTAGCAAGTATATGCACAACATGAACTGCAGTGTTTTAATTCAATTTTTTTAAGTTTAAAAAACACTTTCAACCATCATCATTTTGATTAAGCTCGGTTAAATAATTTTTGATCCGAAACAAAGGATTTTAAATTTACTTTTTCTTTTAATTAATACCTTAGTTTTACCATTTGTTCTTTTTCTTAAAGTCGTTACAAAGCTTGCTTTTTACATTTAATTTTTAAGTCTTTTATTTAGTATATCGCCTTTGATGTTTCTTTTAGAAGCTCTTATAACTTGGCTAAATCACGATAACGTTTATTTACATAATAATTTATGTACAACTTTTTTTGGCTTTAAAAATTTGTAATAAGTAAATACATTTTTTCAGTACTTTGGGGGACTACCCAATTACTCGTTTTTAAAGAAGTGCGCGACTTTCTAGACATTCTGTATGTGCAGAATTAAGAAAAAATTAAATTACTTCTATATTTTAAATATTCGTTTATACAGGGTGTTTGTGGATTGTGAGCAAATATTTTAACCACTAATAAGAGAATTTCTTATGAAAAGTCGAATTGAAGACCAAAGAAATTCCGTATCCAAATTTTATTTTTGCTATTTCCCCCCTATGATTTTCACACGCCGTTCTGTGTGTCTGTCCTTGTTAGTTGGAAGTAAAAATATCAATGAAAATAAATTGCATTGAATGTTAACCGTGAAAGTTTTTATACAGAAAAAAGGAAACTTTTTGTCCAAAAAAATTATCACTTGTTTACACGTGTCAGTTTAGTTA